ATCAGAATCTGTTTGTCTCCTGTGAGGGGGATTCAAAACCCATGGGAAAAAAAGTATCTTTCAGCAGTTACCATTTTGTTGATCAAACTAAAAAAAGGAAATACTTAATCAACTGAGCCATTGTGTTTTGCTCTGGTGAAAAACTAAAGTAACTGTCAGCCCTGAGCTCCATAGCCTCATTGACATGATGACATTTGTATTAAATATACATTATATACCTGATTTTAAATTATTTATATAAGAATTGTATAAATTAGAAGGACTTTAATGTCATGCAACACAAAGTGTAAATGGGTTTTAAACTAATTCTGTTTGTATTATATTTTGTTTCTAACCTCTTTTCATAACCTTTGGCACCATGGACAAAATTAGCAGTTTATATTTCTCCCAATTCATGACAGATCTGCACATCTTTCTAATATATTTGCGATTGTTAGCTCATCACCCATTTTCATTTTAAAAGAAAATAGATTTTACCTATCCCGTTGGCTCAGATTGCGTTCCTGCTGTTTTAGTTACTGTCTAACTAATTAAAAACACGAGTGAAGGATTTTTCTGATCATATTGATCACTGTAGAAACAAAAATAAAAAACCAAATCAAGTCCCTTCATCTTCAGTATTTTTCATCCTGTATACAGCAGATTTGTTGGAGAAAGTATTCAAATTTTGTTTATTAGACAAAAAAACAGTGTTCAAGTTACATTGCTAAATGTGAAAACACATAATGTGAAAAATTAACATACATAAACTTGGTAATATGACCCATTTAAGTGTTCACGTAATGTAGTAAGTTTGAAAAGTGGACTGAGCTGTTTTGCTATAACAAATTAATTTGTACTTAAAGTTGAAAATATTGTCCCACACAATATCTCTCTTGGTCTGTATTAATAGAAAGCAATGTTTTTGCAGTTTATATAATGCATTTTTTAGTCTTTGTTTAAAATGGAGTTCATATGGGCTTAACAGATGAAGTGGGTGGCACAGCTCCACTTGCAGAACCCAAAGATACACAATCAGTTTTGAAATGCAACTTAAGCCATTAATTGTTGGTGTGAATTTAAAGTTTTCTAGTATTTGTATGGTAGTATGCTGCCTAAGAGCAAAAGCATTCTCTGCACAAAAAATTACTGTAGTGGCTTTGATTTTAATTAGAATTTTCTCCCTGGTGTTTCTTTGTAGACTAAAACAAAATCTTTTCAGTTTCTTACTACAGGTAAAGCTATGTGCAAGAACCTCAAAATGCTAAAATCTAGCATAATGCCTTAGATCTGTTTTTAAGTCTTGTATATTCCTACATAGCTGTCTGATGTATTATATTTGTATAGTGAATTGTGTACAATTTTGGAATAAGTGCATCATCACTTATCTTTATGTTGCTCGGTAGAGATGATGGACACGTTTCTTCAAACATTTACTGTCATTTAATTTTTCCCTTTTGTCATTTGTGGGTTTTATTTGTACAGTTCCTCATGAAGTTGCATCTGAGATGTGTGTATATGAAAAGATTATACAAGGGTAAAATTTAAGCAATATATTAACTATGGTTCTTCAGGAGAAAGCTTACAGTGTTTCAGGTTGTGATTTATTTTCAAAATGGAGTTGACTCTGAACATCACCTTGTTCACCTGCATTGATGTTTGTATTTCTAGTGTGAGCAGTTTATGCAAAGGTAGATATATTCAGAGAAATTTTAAATACATTTATGCAAGTTAATATTGCTTTGCTGATGCTATTTGCTTATTTGATGTTAAATAATGCTATTGTAAATAAAGAATTCTGTTGTTATTGCATCATTTAATAAATTTTAATGCCTTCGGGTTTTACATGGCTTTAGAGATCTCAGTGTGTTTCTGTTGTGCCTTCATTTTCTCAGATAAATGTAATGAAATAGAAACTACAGAGAAGGGAGATTCGTGTCTACATTTTTAAAAGGCTACTTTTTTTTTTAGCTAAATAATGTTACTTTTAAATTTTCAAACTAGTGGCCACATTGCAAATCCTTTCACCTGTAGGATGTTGAATCCTGCCTAAAGTCAGTTTGACTAAAAGTTACTGCAATCTGACACAGATAAGTGGCCTATTTGAAACAAGCCCCTTAATAACCGTTCTTTACATCACAGTTGGCTCTTAACAGGGCACCCTTTTAGACATTCTCAGCAGGCATTAAGGCTGAATGGCTTGGAATTTAGACTTACAGAAGGGCCTTGAGAGACAAGGAAATGGCATGTTGGCAGAACACTGCACTGTCATTTTCCCCTTGAAGTCAGGTCATTCAGAAAATAAATTATTGGAGGTGGCTACTGCACTGAGAAAAGAATATTAAACCAGTGAGATTTTTGGATTGTCAGAACTTTCTACTATCTACAGAAAATAAGTGGAAAAAAAGGGTGATTATTTTTATTAAACTAAAATATGCTTATAACATCCAATGGGGTTGTTTCTGTACAAATACTTGCAAACAGTGGCATGATACTACTATTCATGATAAAGTATTCATTTTGGACAAGATAGGCTTTTGCAGTCCCCTTGATCTTGCCTGAACTCTTTCTACTCTAATCCTCTAAAAAGACAAAATTATGTTGCTTATAATTGTCATTTTATAGCAGTCTGGAAGGACAAATTGCAGTATGAGGAGTGTTATTTCTCAGCATGAAGTTAGAAAGATTACCTACACTAGTCAGTTTCATGTGTACAGTAGAAGTGACTCCAGTATGAACATGACTTTAGAGATCAGCATTGTCCACTTCATTCATCCTTTGAGGAGTTGAGATTTCTTGACAAGAATTACTCTCAGCATCGGCCTGCCCACCTGTCTGAAATAAAGAGTAGCTGCTAATAAATGCTTATCTATAGAGGATTTTTTTTTTAACTTGCAAACAAAGCTTTAGGAAAGAATTCATGAGACCAGTAGATATCTTCTTATGTGAACAACACATGGGAGTGGTTCAAATCTAGCAAAAAGAAAAGACAGGATACATTCTTAAAGAGAGTCTTATCAGTTAATGCTTTAAGTCACATCCCCCATCAGACTTTCCATTATACTAGGACCAGATTCTTTTCACTCTCATGTTGAATAGCATCAGTTTGGTAAATGGTCCTTACAGCTATTCTCTAATCACTTTTTAAGTAGTATTTACATAGTAGCATTGAAAAGGATACAACAGGCTCTCTTGTGCCTGACTGAAACAGCTGCAAACAGACTTGACACTTGAACAGTTCCAAGCGGGTTATTGATTGAGAACCGGTTCACAATTGTCCCTGGGTAGAGGTGGCCACACAGACATCGCTACGGGTTCCAGGTAGACCCCTCACCTAGGAATTTCACTGCTGCTGAAATGCCACTGGGGTGAGAGAGTACCCAGACTTTCTGGGGAAAAGTGGAGTGGCTGCCAGGAGCAGGGGGCTTGGCCCTCTGCTTATAGTTCCTGGGAGTGGTGCAGGCTGTTTATAGTTCCCAGGATGGCTGTGGGCTCCAGGAGGTCCGCAAGATCTCCACAGCTTTACAGCCTGTGTTTTGAAAGCTACGCTGTTGGTTTGACTTCCTTGCTGGAGACCCTGCACTTCGGGGTGCCACTTTTATTTGGGGCAAGGAGGAAGCAACACTCCAGCACCTGCCAGCCCCTCAACTCGTCCCATCCCCATCACCCCAAATGACCCTTGCAACCTGGAGAGTGGAGTCTTTAGCAGGTGAGATTGACATTCATTTCACCTACAAGACAGGTTTTGTAAAGCCACCAAGATCTTGGGGAAGGAGGAGCCACACGAACCCTCCAGCTACTGTTGGGGCAGATCCATAAGAGGTGAAGCAGTACAGTCACATCCCTTCCTTCCCCCACCACCCGCTTTGGATCACACTGTAGGAGTAGCAGTCTCCAAAGCAGGTAAGAATCTTTCCCCTCCCTTCCCCACTGCTCAGCAGCATGTCCCCTCCTCTCCCATTCCCCTTTTCCAACTCCCCACTGCCACGGTCCCCAACCAATGTGTGTGGGTGTGGGGGGGGAATGGGGCAGGGAAAGATGAAGAATACCTGCCTAGGTATTCTTCAGTCAGGGACAGCAACAATAACAGTGTGTGGGTCCCCATTCCCATGTTTGCTTCCAGGCTGGCAGAGAACACATGGGGGACCAGGCAGAAAGAAGGAACCTGCCTGCTGCTGTCACTGTCACTGGCTGGAGAAAAGCAGGAGCAGCTCTGGCGCCCTCCACTCAATCACTTGGAGACAGCAGGGACATTGGCAGCCACCTGTGGGGAAGGAGTGAAATGGAAGAGGAAGGAATCCTGAAGAGGGATCCTGGTTTTCTGTTTAAAAATGACAAAAGTCTGACTATAATCTGCAATTAAAATGAAAGACCATTTTTTTTATATATATATATATATATATATATATATATATAAAATATAAAAAATGTGTGTGGGTGTATCAGTTGAACACAATGTTTTATTTATATTTTTACAATTATCAATAATGCAATTTGGATGCCTGCCAGTGCCCCTTACTCCCAAGCCACAGCCCCCCCCCCCATCCTCCCAGCCCTGCCAGCATGATCAATACCCCCCTGCCATGCTACTGGCAGCCCTGCCAGCATGACCTGCAAGCAGAGCCAGCCTTAGGAGTGGGCAGCAAAGGCAACCAACCAAGGCACCAAAGTGGAGGCATCATGGCACCCTGGGGTAGGGCCCCGCTTGAGCTTGCACAGGGAGGAGGCAGCAAGGCTGGGTGGAGGTACCGCCTGCCATGCTCCAAGGTGGAGGAGTGTGGCACCCCCAGCCACCAAACCTGCCCTGAGGGCACCTGGACTGTCAGGTAGGGGCACAGTGCTGCGCTTCCCCCTTCCTTGTTACTACTTCAGCCCTGCTGCCACCACTGCGGGGCAGGATCAGTGGCAGCGGCTGGGAGCTGCAGGCACTGGGCATGGAATACTCTTCAACTTCTTGCAGGTGATTCAGGATAAAGCAGCAGCCTGGCATCCACCCCAGCCCCCAAGCACAAGACAGGGTGTTCACCCAGTGGTACAGCAGGAGTGCCCTGGATTCCACAGTGTCCCTTGAGCTGCAGCACTGCACCTTGGCCACCACCACCTCCTCACAGGAGCAGGTGGCAGGGTAGGTGCCCCAGCTCTTCAACACTGCTAGGCACGCAGGTAAAAGACCCTGCCTGCTCGCCCATCCCTATCCACAGCAGGGTGCAGGGCTGCTGGCTGGGTTCTCCTGTGCAGGCCTGAGAGTGCCTGCAGATGCCTCCTCACTCCTTCAGCTCTCACCCACATACCCTTGCCCTGCCTCCCACCTGCCCTGCTGGTTCTTCCCACAGTCCCCAATTCCCCCCCAGCCCTGGCAGTCATCTGCACCCAATCCACAGCTCCCCACCCCAGCCCAGCCCTGCTGGTGCCCCTCATTCCTGACCCACAGCCTCCTGCCCACCCCCCAGCCCTTTCAGAGGGGGTCCCCTATCTGGCCTCCAGCCCCCTGCAAGCTTTACTTACCCCAATGAGCTTCAGGAATGAAAAGTGAGCCTGAGCCAACCTCTGACTGACTTGAGTATCTCAGGCCCACCCTGAGTGCTCTTTGCAAAACTGGAAAATCCACATTTTTCTCAGTTAAAGGGCAAAATCTGTGGGGGGACAGGTTCCATTTTCCCTTGGGAAACGGAAAACCCGGATTCCTGCTGCTGAGCATGATGGGAGAGGAGGGGGAGAAAGCAGTGGGGCAACAAGGAAAATAGGATTGTTGTGATTCAGGAACTTCAAATAGTCCTACTTCTGTGCCCAGGGCCTGCCCACCCTAGTGCCAGAGGAAGATGGGAACAAGATTTTGGACAATAGTGTCCTGGCTACATTCCAGAGCAGTCCCTTGCCCTGCACATGTTTCTGGGGTGGTGAAGACTGGTGCAGTCTGGGATGCCTGAAGGACTGACCAGACATTAGGCAGAGAATGTTTTGTGTCTCCACATAACATTGACTTGGTTCATGGAGGACCAGCTCAAAATCATGCCTGATTATTCCCAGTGTGCTTTTGAAAGGGTTGAGAGGAAGATTAGGCTGGTTTTAAGTGGCCTGTATGTCTAGACTCTTCAGGGAGGAGGCAGCAAGGTTTTAAGTGGCCTGTATGTCTAGACTCTTCAGGCACATCCAGATGAGTGCTTGTGCATTTCCCTTGGGACAAATAACAGCAGCACATATTTGTGCCACTGCTTGTTGTCCCTGGGGAACGCCCCTGTATACACACTCTGGTGTAGGGCAGGTTGCCCCAGATGGGGTAGGGGAGGCTGAGACCAGCACTGGGCTCACCCCAGCAGCCTTACTTAGTGTCCTGGGGGCCTCCCAGTGCTGCAGTGGCAGTGATCCAGGTGCATGGAGCCTGGCCAACAGCTGGAGCATGGCTCTGGCCAGCCAGGCTCTGGTTTCAGGTGACACATGCTGCTGCCAATGCTGCTTTCTTTTGGTGCACTTTATTTTGATGTTGGGATTTCCTACTATCTAAATTTGGCTCATATTTGCAGTGCAGACAGCCAAATCACATGTGCAAGGTGCATTTTGTGGTGTCTCAAAAGCCTTTGAGGCCCCACAAAGTGCATGCACGCACTCATGCAGACGTACCCGTGGGGTTTAAAGTGAATATGAACATTCTAAGTGTTAACGTCTGTTCACACCCTAGGAATGGTTGATGATATTATTTTTGGGGAAAATTATAAAAAAAAAAAAAAAAATCCAAAGAAACACCTGCATGACACCAAAACGAGTCAATCTAATTATGTTAATCTGTTCTAACAAATTAATTAAAACTGGAGCAGGTTGCTCATCACAGATCCTAATTATGGTGCAAACCAAAG